GACCATTTTGCATTCCCACCAACAATGCAGGAGGGTCCCAGTCTCTCCACATCCTCACTAGCATTTATTATCCTCTTCTTTTTTGAACTTCACTGTTAATTGCTGATGTGAGATGATATCTCATTGTTGTTTGAAAGATGAGGCTTTCTGCTCCCGTAAAGATTTACAGCCTCAGAAACCCTGTACAGGGAGTTGGAACTGAATGCACGGCACACCACCACCACCAGTAACTAATGATTGTGAACATTTTTTCATGTTTGTTGACTGCTCAGATGTCTTCCTTGGTGAAGTGTCTGTTCATGTCTTATGTCCATTTTTAAATTGGGTTATTTATCTTTTTCTTATAGAGATGTTTTCTATAGATTTTAGAGCTTAGTTCCTTGTCAGATATACATTGTCGCAAAAGATGTTTTCCCATTCTGTGGGCTCCCTTTTTATTCTTTTAGTGAAATCTTTTGATTTTCGTTATGTCCCAATTATCTATTTTGTTTTCTTTTGTTTGTGCAGTTCTAGCAATGTTTGATAGTCTGTGTGTGCCCTGTGTTAGAGCCCTTAAGTTACAGCCCTTAAGTCTGTCCCTGTTTTTTCACTGATGACCTTTATAACTGGGATTCACATTTAGGTTTTTAATCCATGTTGAGTTGGTTTCTGTACATGGTGTGAGGTAAAGGCCTTGTTTCATTCATTTGCATATCGATTTCAACTAGTGCTTTAGTTTGTAAGTGTGACTAGGATAGGGACTTTTCCTTATCAATATCTGATTATCTTTTTTTTTTCTACATCAGATGCTTATAATCATTTTATAGATGATTTAATATAGGTAATAATTATAGTGAGTCTTTAAAATTTCTTAAAAAACCTATTTTGAAGTTCTGCAGTAAAATTCTTAAATTTTTTAAGCTTGAGGCTAGTAACACACATGTAATAGAACAAGATGGATTAATTTTTTTCAATTAAAACTCTACAACCATATATGGGCTCACACTTTTTTGTTTTATGCAAACACACCTCGTTTTTAAAAATTGTTATTTAATGGTAAGATTAAAAGAGCCTTCATTTAACTTCTAATTAAATGTATGAATTTTTATGAGATGTATTTTCTTTCTATTTAGGTTTACAATGCATTAATCACATTAACAGAGTAGTAAGCCATCCTACACTTCCTGTTACAATAACTGCTCATGAAGATAGACATATCAAATTTTTTGACAATAAAACAGGTAAGTAAATTGTCTAAGTTTCTTTCTTAATGAAAAATTTGAAATAAACAGAAAATGCTTTTCTTTTATGTAAGATTTATTGATATTTTGGCTGTCAGATTGGCAAATTAAATCATTTCACTTCATTTTTTACTTTATATCATGTTGTTGTTGTTGTTGTTGTGAAGTGTCGTCAAGTTGTTTCTGACCCATAGCGACCCTGTATAGGGTTTTCGAGGAACAGCTGGTGAGCTTGAACTGCTGACCTTGCAGTTCAAATGGCTTTGCAGTCTGGCACATTAGCCCATAGGCCACACCAGGATTCC